GGAAAGAGTTGTGAGAGAAAAAAATTGACACTTGTGGCAGCTGCCTCTGAAGCAACATTATTTAAATCTCCAGAGCAAACCTGATCTCCAGTGGCCTATACAAAGCCATGGTGGGCAAAGGCTCCACCTGGCTCCTCCAACTTTTGGAAAATGTTTGGCTGGCACCAGGCAAGGTATCAACGGTTACCACGGCATCCATGGGCCCCATGTTGGGGATCCAGGTTTGCATCATGGGAAGCACTCTGAAGCCACTTTCTCTGAAGCCACTTTCAGCTTCCTTAAAAATTAAGGAACTACCAGCCCAACTGACATCACTTTGCCCTCTTTCAGCTCCACAGAGAAAAACTGCTTCATAAGCTGGTTTAACCCTTCAGGCAGCCTTTATCACAGACACTAGGATGAAACAGACTTCCTAATAATTGGCAGCTAATATGTCTCAATGCAGAACTAAATGAGGAAAAGGCAACAGAAGTTCTTAGTCATACTAGTTAAGAAATTTCTTGTTAATCTGGCTACCAGGGGGAAAAAGTGGTTGAGTGTACTATCAGTTACGAAACTCAGTTTTGTGGGAGGAAGTTGTAGAAATGCAAAACAGGAAGTGTGCTGTGGACAAGAACACTAAATTGCAGACAAATACACTTTGGCCTAATGGATGAACACAAGAAGCTGCCTGATATTAGCCCTCTTCACGTGTTACACTGAATGAGCATACTCCCTGTCTGCATACATCTGTTTGCAAGAAAGAGCCGGCATGCATTCACTTTACAAAGGAAACCCGGGACCAGTACATGGACAAATGTGTGGCTTCAGTCACACATTCAGCTATACTTTTGTTGAATATGATAAAGAAAAAGGCAATCCCTCAAAACAACCTACAAAAATGTGCAGCAACACAAAAGAGAGAAAAAAGTGTTGCTGCACTTTTAATAGCATGTGTTGAATGTAATGTAAGAATTACTCACCAGACTCAGACCATTGGTCCACCAAGGTCATCGTTGCCTACTCTGACTGGCAGCAGCTCTTCAGGGTCTCAGGCCAAGGTCTTTCACATCAACTACTACCTGATCTTTGTAACTAGAGATCGAATGTGGGACTTTCTGCATGCAAAGCAGATGCCCTACCACTAGACACACCCTAGTAAACCCTGGCCACTATCTCCTTATGAAGAAAGATTTGGTCATCTTGAGTCTAGAAAGGTGGAAGATATTTGCCATTATATGCCCTTTTGTCCCCAGTATAGATTTCTTGGGGAGTCATTTAAACAGAATTAGTCTGCTTTTGCAGTTTAAACATATTATCTGCTATTAGGAACAGACATATAACATATAAAATTGTGCAATACATCCACAATCGCAGAGTTGGCCTTAACAATCCACTGGTTTGTAATAGAACTATTTTATATTGTGAAGCAGTATTGCTATGCACAATAAGATCACAATGATGATAGCAGATCTTGACCAGAAGGCAAGGCCCTCCAGCTACTGGGGATGAGCTTATCCACAAACAAACCTTTAGAGTTGCCTACCTCACAACTGATGTCACAGCTATGTCTTTGATAGAAGCTGAATCTGCAGTTAGAAATATGGGGTACTTTTCTCTCTCTGTGCACCATAACATTTTCCACCTAATTCTACATATGAAAGCTGTTGCTATATACAAAAATGCTGAGGACAGTTGAAAAATTGGCTTGCTATTGGGACACCAATTTTGAGGCACTAGGAAATGATTTGGATTAGGACCCTTCCCAGACCACACCCAGAGCCTTGCTACCTGTATAACAGTGCCTCCTGTGCTGCAGTTCATCTTCACGTCTGGGATCACCTGGCTCAAAGGAGCCTTGTAAAGGCTGGTTTTGCAAGCTGATTCCTCAGCAGTCTGGTCAGCTTGGGTGTCGGCCTACGTTCCAGAGTAGGCTTAGTGCTTTAGCTTCCCTAACAGGATCTGGCTTCCTAGAATTTGAACCCTGCCTGACCTAGATGAGACTTCTTGCTTCTGACCTCTTAAGTTTGAACTGCTTATTAGTACTTTTGACCTGAACTTAATGTTGCTTATTACATCCAGACAGAGTTGCCAACCTCCAGAGAAGGCCTGGAGGTCTCCCATAATTACAACTGATCTCCAGATTACAGAGACCAGTTCCCCTGGAGAAGATGGCCACTTTGGCAAGTGAACTGTATGGCATTATACCCCACTGAGGTCCCTCCGCTCCCCAAACCCCATCATTTCAAGGCTCCACACCTAAATTCCAGGAATTACCTGACCCTTGGACTTCTGACCCCTGACCTGAGCTTGACCCTGTTTTGCACCCATGGTCCTGCACCCTAAATTACATCTAGATTCCTGACATCAGTTCAGCCATCACCACATGAACAAGCACAGCATAAGGGCTGGTTGACACTACCACTTCTGGTGATGGTTTTCAGTCCATGGCAACTTTCCCATTGTCTGCCAAGACAGAATGTGGAGGTTGTAAAATTACTCATTTTAGTGCTTCACCACAGTATGAGTCACCCTGGAACTACACACAAGCTTTTACACAAGTTTGTGGTGGAATACTAAAGATGTTTTCACTCATGATAGCTGAAATCTGGTTTTGTTTAGCTTGTTCAGTAATGTGAATTTGAGGCTTACACTGGCAGGAGAGTGCACTTGATTTAAGAATGACTCCCTTGTGCTTTATATCCCACATTAACAACATTCGCAAAGATCGTAAATATCGTAAGACAAGCTCAGGGATGTTTTAATGTTATGTTGGCCACTGGTTGTCTAACTGGCTGGCTACTACGTGCCTGAGACAGGATGCAGGGCCCTTCTTATATTCATTACAAGTTGTACAACCTGATCCTATGCACACTGACTCCAAAGTAAGTGCCAGTATGTTCAACAAGACTTATTCATATTTAGGATTGCAACTTAAATTTGCTTCTGATTGCAGCACCACCACATTCAATGCTGCTTACCAAAAGTCACTACAGGAGGAATATATTCATGTGGAAGTTTCAGTGTTAAGGAAGTTTTGATACGTTTAATTATGATTTCCTCCCTTGTATTTATAATATGTACATCTTTTGTTCTTTTCCATATACTTTGATATATAACCATGACATATGTGATTTATTTTTAAATTTAAATTTCCCTTTATAGTTTTTTTTAAAGTGACGGACAGTGTGTCTTGGTCTTAAATAGTGATTTTACCATCACTAGCTTCTGGCCCTGGGAAAAGAGAACAACAGCGCCACATGGAACTAGCAGCACTGATTGGGTGTATCATCTTCGAGACGTCATCTTTATGGAAGATCTTGTTTGAACATCTAGAGCACTTAATAAGTTGTAATTATGTGTAACATAGTAGTGATGTTTTTATATGATTTTAATCTGTTTTATATGTTGGTTTTGCCTGTCTGTGAGCCGCCCTGAGCCCGCGCACGGGGAGGGAAGGCTATACATTGAAATTATAAATAAATAAATAAAAAGGATAAGGATGCTGGATGGCAGCTGCCCTACTGCTTTCAACTGTGAAATCATTAGAATGACTCACTGTTCAACCCGCCGCCGCCACTATACCACCACTGTGGCTTGGTTTACCATCTACCCTGGTTCTGGGCAGGGGTAGACGTCGCCCAGAGGAGGAACATCACTCTGGCGCTCCCGCTCTTATACCATCGGCCGCCAGTGAGGAAGATCGACCATCTTGAAATTTTAAAATGAACTGTAGAGCACCATTTTAGTTTGTATTTATTGATGTTTTAATGTAATTTATGTTTTATTCCCGGCGTTGCCGCTTGTTCGCCGCCCTGGGCCGTATGGGTAGGGCGGGATATAAATCCCAAAATAAATAAATAATAAATAAAATAAATAAATAAACCCTTGTCTTTCAAGGTAAGCTTGCTCTTACTGATGAACAGGAAAAGCATATGCGTATGGGTGCAGACAGCCATAACATGAAAACAGAAATCACAGTGGATTTCCCTACTTCCAATATTTGCATTGTTAAATGAAAAGTTTACATAATAGCAAAGCGAACTCTGGTTCACTTGTCATCCTCTCCCCACCCAGTGTTTCAGATAGGCTATTGGCCCTTCTAATTTGTTTCTAATGCCAGATAGAGGTTTAATTATTCAAATGGTAATTCAGCCACTTTTTGTTTTACAAAAAGCGCAATATTAAAAAGAGTAGCAAAACTCCTCTGAGATGGGTGTGTTTGTGCACTTCTGATGTGCACAGGTGGCTTCTGGTGCAAACCACCAGAACTGGCTTTTCTCAACCTTGACCCTAAATGGGAACCTGTTTGTTTGATCCCAAGTAGCCCCACTTTTCCAGAAGGTTATGTCTGTATGCATCCTGTACACACATACTTAATCCAGGAATGTTTTGCATTAGGCAAGAAAGTAATCACACAGCTTCTGGCACACTCTGTGAAGACAGATTATTCTACGGCAAATTCTGTTGCAATGGTCACTAAAGTACTCCTTTTACAATAACAGAAGTAATACTTCCAGTAATTAAGCAGATTGTCCTAGTGTGGGACTTTAAAAAAATTTCCGCCCCCCCAATACATTTCAGGAAAAAAAGACGCTATCTCCCATGTGCAAATAGTTATATTGGTTCTAAATAAAATGTTATCCTGTGGCTGAACCTCAGTAACCTCTTTAGAGTCCAGAGGGGCTTCCTTCCACAAAAAAAGCAAGCTGCCAAGACACAGCAGCATAACAGAAGTAATACTTCCAGTAATTAAGCAGATTGTCCTAGTGTGGGACTTTTAAAAAATTTCCTCCCCCCAATACATTTCAGAAAGAAAAGACGATATCTCCCGTGTGCAGATAGTTATATTGGTTCTAAAGAAAATGTTATCCTGTTGCTGAACCTCAGTAACCTCTTTAGAGTCCAGAGGGGCTTCCTTCCACAAAAAAGCAAGCTAAGGCCAAGACACAGCAGCAAGGAGTCATAAGACCACCTTTAATGCATGAAATTGTGCCATGTTCTAGAAACTAAAGTTCTGTATTGATATGGAAATAGGAATAGGTCAAAAGTGGAAAAGAAGACATGCCTCATCTCACTCCAGTTCAGTGTTCTCCAATGTGGAACTGGATCAGATTTCTTTTTTCCTTCCTGAAGAAAAAAAAAATCATTTCTGGTGCTCTTTAAAAGATTCCTGTGTCTTTAGCAGTTATGTGACTGCTTCCCCAGTCACTGAAATCCAGGGAATGTTTCCTCCACTAAATTTTTACCTGTCAATAAACCATCAAAGAATACCGCCAGAATAAAACACAGCAGCTCTAGCTGCTCTCTCCTACATAGGACATGACATTGCTTTAAATATCACGATTGGGTAGGTTTTATAAGTAGTTGGCTATTTATGTATTTTCTGGATTTTATCCAAAAAGTACATCTGGGTCACATTTTCAGGCTTTTCTCCCAACTACAGTAGCTAGAAAGCTACTTCTGCAGGGAGTGAGAAAACATAATCTGTCCAATGAAAAAACAGAATTTGTCCCTTTGAAGTACTTATCATGCAGGTGAGATCTACACCTCACCCCCAATCACCAGGTCATGTATGTGCAGGGACCATGTTAACCTCCTCTGTTTGTCCCAGTCTTAAAACATGTCCCTCCAGGTCTCCAAGAAGGGTCTGAAGGCACATAATGCTGCAACTTTGCTGAAGCAAAATAAGTCTAGGTCTGGTATGTACCCAGTTGAGGGAGACCCTCTGAGATGTCTGTGTGTGCATCCTTGAGTTCCGTGGAAGGTGAGATATTCATATATAATAAATAAAGCAAGCTCAAAATGAATGGCAGATGTCTCAAGACTGCCAGAGTGCCACCTGAGTAACAATGAAAACTGTTTCAGGCAACAGAAATACCACTACAGGAATGTTGTAATTCTCATAAAACTGCAGTGGTGGAACGCATTTTTATTTGAACTAAAACACAGTAAGCAAGCTGTGCTTGAAATGTGCACAGTGACCATAAGCTTCCTACTGTATTGTTAATAAATATACTGGGTTAGATGAACCCCTAATGGATTTTTCCTACCCACTTATCCTAGAGAGACACAGGGTGCCCATCTCTGTGCTGAAACACTGTAACAGGAATGACATGTCTAGTGTCATTCAGCCATAGTTTTAATTCTCATTTCCATGTACGAAAAAGGATCCTGGAGTGCAGCTATTCTTTATGTTTGCCTGTTGCCGGTTACAAAGGCACTCCTTGAACTGGCTTAATCGGCATCAGAACCAAAAGGCTGTAGGGTTATAAGAAGAAGTGCAAACACTCAGGAGTTCTCTAACTCTGCCATTTTGGCCTCCCTTCTACCAGACCCCCCAAATACCTTTCATACGCTCCCCCAGGGTAAGACAACCAGAAAAAAGTATGCTTGCAATGATCACCATGGCTTAAGAAAGAGCGGGAAACCAGGTTCACAGAACCACAACACACTTTAAAGAAGAGAGTGGGTATGGTTTTGTGCAAAAAAAAGAAAAAGAAAAAAAGAGGGCGGGGGTTCAAATTGTACCACTTGAAACAAAAATGAGCAAAGTCCCAAAGGATGCCCACTCCTTTTGACAGACAGAAGAGAAAGGAAGGGAGAGAACTTTATTGCAAATCCCTAATGTATTCAGAGTTAATACTCTTTTTCAGGGGTATTTTGCCAAGATTTTTAGATCATTAGCTGTGTTTGTGTCACTAGAGTTGCCAACAGGTCTGGAGAAAAACACCCTGCACCTTTAATAGAGGGCATTTTTTCCAGGCCTGTTGACAACCGCATGCATCCTTGCCTACCCCAATTCAACATTCCTGTTCTTGTCCCTTGTGTGCTAAGACCTTATAGAAGCTGATGAGGTGGCTAAAGCCATCCCTGGAACTTTACTACACCTACCATTTTATTAAGGAATAGAGGTATGTGATACCAGTTGTGCCTAATTCCAATCAAAGGCAAAAAGGCCAGGGTGAATTTATACAGATAAATTCTCAGTCTCCATTTCAAGGGGCCCTCCCTTTGGAACCCCCTGGTCACGGTGAGCGCATTTCTCTTCCCCTCCCCACTAGCTAGCATTAGCCACGCCCACTCTTCCCACACCTCCATCAATCTCGGCACTTGTCAAACATCTCCAGGTAGCGCAAAGGGAGTGGAAGATTAGTGAGCGGCTCATTGGCTACGTTCCTCTACCTCGCCTCACATCCACAGGCGAGGGTGGCACTTTACGGTCGAGCGCAGCAGCGACGAAGAGCTCTGTCACTTGCGGATCTGGGATGGCTCGCCTTGGCGAAACCAGTTTTCAGTCTCCCCACCCCCCCACCCCCCCACCCCCCCAATTGGC